CCCTCATGGAGGGCGGGGGCCCACCTGGGCCACCATGGGGCAGGAGACACCCTGGTCTCAGCGGCGGGTGGGGGGGGGGGGCAGGAGCCGAGGCGCCTTCGGGCGCGGTCCTCCAGAGGACCAGTCCTCGATGACGTCACCACCAGGCCTGGCATGCGCGGCGGGGGGCAGGGGGGGGGGCGGGGCTCCTCGGAGCCCAGGGCGCGCGTGGCCTTGGCCAGCCTGCACGCCTCCTCTATAGCTCCGAGTCCCCCAGCTCCTTCTCCGACGTGAACCTCGCCCGCTTAAGAGCCATATGCCGCTCCAGGCCCTGCAGACCCACAGGCCTCAGAGGGGTCCCCGCTATCCCCCGAGAGGCCCCAGAGGGCCGCCGCCTCGGCACCCCTACAGACACCCCACCTGAGCCTAGAGGCTCCTTTGGCGGACACCGCGAAAGCGGTGCACCGATCACATGACCATCTGTGGCCTCGGCGCCGCACACGGTGCGGGAAGGCATGCGTCACACGACCCGCCCTCGGCGGCAGGGGCTCAGAGGAGACTCCCAAGGCCCCGTCAGCACCAGCACGACGAGCACCACGAGCCCCTGCATCACGCAGCTCCTCCCACCTGTGCCGCAGGGGAGCTGCACGGCGCCTGGGGACCTCCATGCGGTCGGGCACGACGCTGCCGTCGAAGAGCATGCGAGACGCTGTCCCGATCCACGCCGCGGCCTGACGTGCATGACGCAGCGCAGCACCATGTTGCTCCACGGTGGCGGGCGGGAGGTCGTGGATCCTCCTGCCTCTTGTGCTTGAGCCGCCAGGTCCGCCAGGTCGTTGCAGCGCCGTTCCCACGTGTCGTCTCTGGAGTGGCCGTTGACGCAGGTGATGCGCACAGGCGCCTCGACGTCTGCCTCCAGGGTCACTCCGCCATGCTCGTCCAGGTAGTGGTAGATGCGCCTCCACAGGTCCGTATTCTCACGCCTGGGACTCGTACACCAGCGCTTGCCCCGCGCCAGCCCGTCCAGGAGCGGCTTAGTCCGCGAAGATGCGCAGCGGGTCAACGCCCACCGTCAGGACCTGCAGCACAGCGTAGAGCTTCGCCCTGCCCGAGGTCTGACGAGACCCAGGCAGCGGGCCGAAGCAGCACCAACGTAACGACCATCATCCACGACGGCGAAACCCCAGCCAGCGCGATCAGCCACGTCCCAGTGCAACAGCTCCTTGCACGAGCCGTCCGTGAAGACGGAGCCAGTGACCACAAAATGCGTCTCAGCCTTCGTTCTTCGCTTCATGATCATAGCACCAAACAGCAGAATCATTACGGCTGGAGAGCGCTGGCAGGAATGAATTGGGATACAGCCCACGAGAGTAGAGCAAATCCCCAGGAGTCGTCGCCCCTGCTGCATTCATAATAGTATAGTCCACTGCGTGCTCCCTCAAGTCATCGAAGATCGGGCACGCCCAATACCTGTGATGCAGGGAGCCATCCACACCAACGCAGTGCAGACAGCAAGGACTCGGTGCATAAGTGAACTGATGCAATCTCTTCTACGAAACATGCGCACCAAGTACAGCAGACCGCAAGGCCGCGCTCGCCAAAGGATCCAGCGCCTAGCGCTTGGCCTTGGGGCCAGGACACAAGAGCCCGCAAATCGGCGCCAGCCAGGTGCCAGCAGGATCCTTGTGGAGCGGCCCAGGATACTCAGACATGACATCAGGACGCGTAGACCACTGCAGCCAACCACATGCCTCGAAGTCCATGAGAGCGATCCACTTCACAACAGACGGCGCAACTGACCTCCTGTTCAACACCTCGCCGTTGCGCGTGCACACGTTGAATGCAGAAGAGCACTTCCATCCGAGCAACAGTAATGAACGGGCAAATGCTCCAGCAGGGCCAGCCACATTCTTCCAACTGATATCCAAAGACACGAAAGCAATCCAAAGATAATGGGACCTCCAAGCCGTCTGCAACGTGCCATGATCAACATCGCCAGATTGAGCCAACACTGCCCAGTTGTGGATGGGACCGAAAACCGCGATCGTAGCTGGCTGGTGCTCAGGGGCTGGGTCCAAACGAGACGCGATCCAGTGCGAGCTCCCAGGGGGTACGGCACTTCAGCCCTGCTTCACCATGGAGGTCATGCGCCTGATAACGTGGGGGGCAACCCCGGGGCCAACTGCAGCACGAGCAACCTTCCTGAACTTGCTGCCCAGGAAACTCAGGCGCCGGAAGTGTCTGGAGCGCTTCGCCACCTTGCCCACGCGTCGCCATATGACCTGGCCCTGCGACCTCTTCCCAGCGCCGACCTCCAAGCCCAGGACCTCCAGCCAGGATTGCGCACGGAACCCGTAGCGCTTCAACCTGCCAGCGATCAGAGGAGCGAATTTGTCATCCGACGCCGTGAGCATAGCCTTGGACCTGGCAACGGGAAGGCCCCGGTCCAACAAAGTGTCGCACATGAGCCTGATAGTGTTGACAGCCACCTGCTGAAGAAACATCTGCCGAGGAACGACCTGCAACGTCAGATCGTCTGTGAACACGTCCAGGGAAAAGGAGAAACCCGTCGGTGGGTCCAGCATACCAGCACCCGCAGCCTCCACGAAGTCATCCAAGGCAGTGATCATCAGGAGCTGCACCAGCGCCATGGCGAACTTGCAGCCTGGCAACACTCCCTGCTGCACGGTGACCGAGTAGGACGTAGCCTACTGCCAGACCAGCCTCCGTGGCGCACATGGTCAGGGCACAGGCCAGCAGCTGGCGCGGGGAGCCGTGCTTGGCAGCTGCTGCCACCAGGCGGCGCCAGCAGATGCGGTCGAAACATGTCTCGATATCCACGATGGCCGTGCCCACGCGGTCATCACAGGCAAGGGCCGCCTCAGCCCGCAAGAGGGCCCTGGAGGGGCGACGTCCAGCGTGGTCTTGCCCGAGGCCAGGGCGAAGTAGGGCCCGTCGTACTCGAGCAGCCAGGCACATAGTTGGCGCACACGAACCTGAGACTAGACACGGTAGGTCGCCTGCAAGAGCGCAATGGCCCTCCACCCTCCCTTGGGCTTTGCCAGCAGCACGATGTGGACCGCGGCGAGCTGCGTCGGCCACCTCTCCCAGTGCTCCACGAGCCACATGAGGTGCACCAGGAGCGCGACAGTGTCGTCCGTGAGCAAGCTGATGGCACAAGGAGCGAGGCGGTCGGCGCCCTGCACCGCGTGCCACAGAAACGACTTGGCCGCCGCCCGCACTTCGCCGACCTTCGGCACAGGGAGCGTCGCCTTCGGGAGCCTGCGGATGTCCGACATGACATCGGAGGTCACGACGAAATGGTCCAGATGTCGCACCTCGTAGCCGTCGCCACCCTCCCCAGCGCTTGCGACATGGACCAAGGTGGGCACATCAGAGGCCACCTGAGCCTGCCAGATGCTAGACCAGCTGCCCATCTGATCATCAGCCACATCCTGCGCCACTGTAGTATAACGGCCGTGTCGCAGCACCTGAGCATGAGGAACGCCCGCAGGCTTGGTGTAGCTGAAGAGCGGCTTCACGCGCTTGCCGCCTCACTCGTGAGCCCACTCTGCGAAAGCCCGCCTCCTGTCGGCCATGGACTTTGTCTCGAGCACCTCCGCAAACTTCCGGAGCCAACCACCCGCTACGGTGACAGCGTCGATGGCCGCAGCATGCACACCGGGCAGGTCCACCCGCGGGCAGCTGCCAGGCAGGCAGGTGTCGGAGACGGCGTCGGGCCCCAGCACGAACGGGATCCGCAGCTGGTGCTCCATCCGCGCGCCAAAAGTCCTGTGCCGCTGTCGTCAGGATGCGGCTCACGATGGGCATCATGCCAGGCGTGGGCCGGACCACCTGGCGACACTCCTGACAGCGAGTGGACCCCTCGGCGCCAGGGGAGGCGAGCCTGTCCAGGCGCCGAGCGCAAGGCAGCGGCTGCGACCCAGCACGACGGGCGTCATCGGCGGCCTGAGCCAGGCGCCAGGCACGCCTCGCGTCAGGCGGTGCAGCAGGGCGTGCAGCAGCAGGGGCGCCTCCAGCCTGGCGCCAGCGGCAGACGACCTTGCAAGACCTGCCACGGTAGCGGTCCGCCACCGACTCTGGAGGAGGAGGAGGAGGAGGAGGAGGAGGAGGAGGAGGAGCATGAAGTTGAGACATACGAAGTGAGGCCACACAACACAGCATCTTCTCGACTACATGCCAGTCCACCACTCATGGGCAACGCGCCGCCGAACTCTACGCTCTACGTATATGATGAAGGGCACCAAGGCGTGTCGCAAGCAACCCACGCTGCACACGTAAGCGAGATGCGAATCCAAAGCCGACGGCAGGCACTTCTCGCAACAACTGAACACACAAGAGCCACCCGACTGAAAGCACGAAGCTCACGAGCGGCGGACATATCCATATTCACGCCCTCGCGGCATGGACACCGAGGCGCGATCCCATGGATACGCGATCCCACGGACCCGTCCCGCACAAGGCATCCGCGCAAAGACGCCCAGCATCTACTGGGGCCGCGGCCCGAGGAGTCCAGACCGCAGGGCCGTGGACACGCTCAGACGTCCGACGTCGCGATTTTTTCGCAGCGTGGCTTCCCCGAGGTCTTGACCCCTTCCGGGGGACTGGCTTTTCGCCCCGAGTCGTTTTTGGCCCCCCGACGCCGAGAGCGGCCAACAGCTTTCCGCCGTGCTTCTCGTCGCGACGCGATGAGGTCAGGGCGGGCAGGGTGCCCGCTCACGGGAGAGCGACTCGACACCGCCGCTCCGCGCGGACCGTCGTCGAAAGAAACCGCGACCAGAGCCCCATGGACCCCATCGTTCTGCGGCACTTCTGCAGCCCGGTCGATCCGCGCTGGTCCTGGGGCCCGAGCCTAGGCGAACGCGCCCCGCGTGCAAGAGCTGCAGCGCCCGGACCTGCGGGGTGCAGAGCACCTCGGCTCCGCGGGCGCCTGGGCTCGGGGCGGACGCGGGGCGGACGCGGGCCGGCCAGGCGCCGCCCGCGCGGGTCCGCCGCCCGCGATGGTGCGGTGGGCCTCGGGGCTGAGCTCGCGGGGCTCGGAGGCCGCGGCGGCCCTGCTCGAGGCGGCGGAGGCCGACCGCGCCAGGGCGCAGGCGGAGTACGAGGCTCGGAGGAGGAAAGGGCGTACCCAGGGTACGGCCTGCTCTATTCGTTGTTCTGTCTCGCCATCCTGTCCAGCATGAGCATCGTAGATCACCACTGCTCTTTCCCTCGGTCTCTCCGTGGGCTTCGCCGCGGACCACTGCATTCTGCTCTTCTTGCTGCTCTCTGCGCATGGTGTTTCGCACAGGCGCGGGGAAGCCGGCCGATCGCCGATCGGCAGACGGACGCTTTGCGCTCGCGACCGCGGCCTGCCTAAGCAAAAGGTGTATCCATGAGCTTTGGAGCCGGCTGGGGGTCTGAGGTGGCAGGGGGGCGAGGTTCGAGGTGAAAGGCTCGAGGAGGGTTTTTGGCTTTTTCAGTTCCCGGGGGCCGTTTTCGGCCACGCTACCGTCAAAAACAGATCTGGGGTGAACAACTGCACCAGATGGACCCTGGGAGGGGTCCAGGGATAGATTTTGAGTGCAGTTGCCCTTATCCATCCTTTTGACTGATTTTCTCGGGGTTCAACTAGTTCAGACCCCCTGGCTGCCTCCAACATGAACTGACAACTAGCACCCATACTTGTGTGACCCCTAGATTTCTCGGGGTAGAATTCTGTGTGTGTTTATATATGTGTGCGTGTGCGTGTGTGTGCGTGTGTGTGTGTGTGTGTGTGTGCGTTGTCCGATAGGGGGTCCCCGCTCGAACGGGAGCCTCCCTCGGGGTCTGGCAATCTGCACCCATACCTGTAGCGCCCTCATATCCTTGCCCTTCCCCTTTCCTCCTCCCTGCAGGTTTCAGTGCGTGCTGTTTTTCCGTCTTGTGACGATGCCGCCACCCTTGGCCTCGCTGTCGCCTTCCCCTGAGATCTCTGGGCGTTGCATTTTTTCACGCTCTGGGCGTTTCTGCCTTGCTTCGGGCTCCGGGGCCATCACGGATCGATCCGGCTCGAAAGATGCAGCAGAAAGATTGGGCCTGGAGGGCTCCGGCCGTGATTCCTGGCGATGCTGCGATTTTGTTCGTCACGTCGGATCTCAGGGTCTCGGGCCTCCTGCGAGGCCCTCGGCGCCACGGCTGGATTCGCCTTGAAGTGCGTGTCAGGGCGCGCCGCCCAGGCGCCGGGGGCGGGCTGGCGTGGATCCGCGCCAGGGGCCCGAGCGGATTTTTTGGAGGTCCGCGCGGATTTCATGGAGGAGCGACCGAGGGAACGAACGGAGCGGCTGCCGCCGGGAAGCCGGCGTCCCTGCAAGGGAGGCTGTCGCGCTAGTCGCGTGCAGGCCTTCTACACGAAGGCCACTCGATGCGGAATCGGGCCAACAGCCAATCAAGCATGAAGCGTTTGCACGAGGTGTCGTGCGGTCTTCGCCAGGTGTGCTGCAGAAGCCATTATCATTCTCCTGCGAAGCAATCTCGGTGGAGGTCTTGGAGCTCCGCGTGGAGAGCCGCGCGGATTTCTCGGATCGGCGCTCGGCCACCGGGCGGGCCCTGTGGCGCCGCCGCTTGCACGCTCCCAGCGCCAGGTAGGGGGGTCCAGCGTTGATCTAAGAAACCCGCGTGGTCCCTCAAGAAATGATGCTTGTGCAGCTTCTTGACCCTCTATCGGCGGTGAACCCAGGGGGGAAGTGAGAAGGAGAAGACCTTCTCAGAAGGCTCGGAAGTCCCACGGCCTCCTGAGAAGTTTTCTAAGCCTTCTCCGAAAACACCGAACACTTCTCACAAGGCGCGGAGGCTTCTGAGAAGCCCCCGCCGCCTTGAAGCCCTTTTCCTTTTCACTTCCCCCGTCGCTCGCCCGCGACTCTGGCTTCTGGCTGCGGCTCAGCCCTTGAAGAGGCCCGAGGAGTAGCGGCAAAGATGGACACCAGTGGGCTCCCCCGGAGGTGGCGCTGCGCTTCCAGGCAGGCGGCGAGCACGAGCGTGCGGCCGAGCTGCTCCCGCGCCTCCTGGAGTCGCTGCCGCGGAAGCCGGCGAGGGCTGCCCGGGGCAGGCGGGACGAGGCTCCGGCGGGAGAAGTCGGCGCAGTCACAAGAGACACAGATTCGCTCAGAGAGGTCGACGAGTTTGGGGGAGTGGAGGGAACGAGGATCAGCCAGGAGCCACGGAAGAGATGGGGACTCCCGAAAGGTCTGCTCGTGCCTCCCTGGGCGCCGGACGATCGGCACCGCCCAAATCTGCCAGTGCAGTGCGTGCGTCGGCCCCGCAGGGGCGACGCGCGCGCTCAGCGATCTTCTGGTACGGGCTTCGTGGCGGGCGCTTTCTGGCCGTGCCGCTCGGGAAAGGGTGCACTGCGGTGGGGGCGTTGGCTGAGGAACGTGCCCAGGAGGCCTCAGACCCTGGAGGATTCCTTCTCTGATGAGGGCGGCGGTGACATCCATGGCCAATCCACGATGGGACTTCCACTGGCTTCCAGACCCTGGATTCCTTATCTGAGGGTTCCTGATCCCATGCCCCCTCCGTGTAAGATTCATGCAGCATCTGTTCGCGTCGGACGCACGCCTCTGAGGAGGACGCATCGCATCAGCATGTCTTTCTGCCTCCCGCGAGAGGCGTGGCTGCAGCGGCTCCGGTACCTGTGCCTGCGCAACCTGGCGGTCTCCCGCGCGGCGCTGGGGCAGCACGCCGAGGCCTTCGAGGCGGCTCGCGAGGCCCAACGGCTGGCCAGCGCGGCGAGGCCTTCGGGGCCGCGGGGGCCCCGCGGCGGCACCGTCGGGGAGGCGGGTGCCGACGACGACGGCGACGACGACGGCGACTGCGACGGCGACGGCGACGACGGCGGCGACGGCAACGACGACGACGACGACGACGACGACGACGGCGGCGGCGGCGGCGACGACGACGACGGCGGCGGCGGCGGCGGCGGCGGCGGCGGCGGCGGCGGCTGCGGCTGCGGCGACGACGACTGCGGCGACGACGACGACGACGACGACGACGACGACGACTGCGACCGCGGCGGCGGCGGCGGCGGGTGGCGGGCGGGTGGCTGGCGGGCGGCGCCGCCGGGGAGGCCGGGGCCGACGAGGATGGCTCGTTGTGGCGCCTGCTGGCCGAGAGCGCCGCGAGCTGTGGGAGGTGGTCGGAGGAGGAAAAGGCACTGATATTTCAGTCGCAACTCATGGAAGCGTTGCGAACCCTCGTAGTTCCATTTTTAGAGTGCACTCGCGTCGATTAGCGTCGGGTAATCGACAGGATAGCGCCGATTTAGCGTCGATGTTAGCGTCGATCAGCGTCGATTTAGCGTCGACTAGCGTCGAGTAGCGTCGGCTGAGCGTCGACTAGCGTCGATTCGCACGAGCCAACAAGATGGTATGAGGGGCTCCCAACAGTTGCCGCCGAACCATACCGCTACCCTTCCTTTGTTTTTTCCCTGTTCGGGCCTCCTGGAAGGCCCTCGTCGCCACCGCTGGATTCGCCTCGGAACTCTGGTCAGCGCGCATCCTGGGAGAGGTCAGGGGAGTACAGTCAACCCGCATAGTAAGGATGAGCAACTTTCCAATGTTACCCTTGCATCCTTCCCCTTCGGCCCATCCTTGGCCACATTCGCTGGCCAGCCCCACTCGAAAAACGTCAACATGGCTTTCCAGGGCCCTTGCATCCTTCCCGCGTGTCCTTACTATGTGGGTTAACTGGCGGTGTCGGTACCTTTTGGCCCCCCAAGAGGTGGGGCGACGCCAGGCTCGCGTTCGAGCGCTGCGCGTGCCTCTGGCCAGGCGATGCGCCGGTGCTCCGAGGGCTGGCGAGGGCCCTGCTGATGCTGGGGGACCTGCGAGCCTGCAGGGTGGCCCTGGAGGCTCAGTGTCGCCGAACCTATCCCCGTCCCCACCGTGCCATGGTCTCTCAGCCTCATCATCCCACCCGCACAGTTGAGGATAGGCCCCTCGAAGCCTGAAGGAACAGGCACGCATTCCCGTCTCGCGGGGTAGATCGGCCAGTGGGGCCAAGGCCAAGCCAGTGGGGACAGGGATCGCTTACAACGATGCTCCGAGGCGCTCCGCGAGGCCGACGGCGCGGGGCTGCAGCCGCGCGAGGCGTGGCTGCTCCAGCACCTGCGCTTGCCGCGCGGCAAGCGGGAGCGGGCCGGGGCCAGCGGCGGAGCCTCGGAGGACGCCGCGCAGCACGACTTCGAGCAGCTTGCCGCGGAGCGCTCGAAGCGCCTGCGCCTCGACGTCGCTCCAGAGGCTCCAGAGGCGGTTCGCCTGGCCGTGGAGGAGCCGTCGCTGTGGTGCCTGCTGAAGGCCGCCAGGAGTGCCGCGGAGGGCAACCTGCCGCCCTCCATGCCGGTCGTCTTCGAGCTGGGGGCCGGGGCCCCTGCGCTGCAGGCCAGGGACGGCGACGGGCCGCACCCGCACAGGGAGGTGGAGCTCGCGTGCGGCGCGCTGTGGGAGGCCTTCAGGCCGCTCCTCGCGCACCCGTGGCCAGAGGGCCAGGACGCGCCACAATTCGTGCTGGCCGCCCTCCGCAGCGACACGGAGGCGGCCAGCGAGTCCGAAGCGGCGCTGGTGTCGCGCCTCTTGGGCGCCGAGGCAGGCAAAGGCGCCGGCGCCCGGGCACCGAGCCCCAGGAAGCCGTGGCGCGAGTGGCTTCGGTCGGTGGTCTGCTTCGCCCTCGACCACTTCGCCCTCGTGCGGGGGCGCAGGGGGGCCCTGCGGCTAGCGCGGGCCCTGGTTGACCTGGCCGTGTGGCTCGTGGTGCTCAGCGCCCCGGGGCAGCGGTCCGAGGCGCTGTGCCGCGGCGCCCCCGCGCACGGGTGGCTGACTCCCAAGCTGCACGCTTGGCTGTCGGCCCCGCCGCGCCCCGGCGAGGCGGAGGGCGGCGCGCGTCTGGCCACGAGGCGGCTCGTGGGCGCGCGTGGCCTGGACCTCGCGGAGGCCTGCGCGCTTCTCGGCGCGAGGGACCCGCCTTTCGTGGCCGCCGCTGCGGAGTTCCTGCGCGCCTGGCGCGCGGCGGCGGACGGGCTGCCGCAGCAAATCCTGGCCTGGCTCCGCTACGGCGACCCGCCCGCAGGAGCGGCCGCGGCCGCCGCGTCCGCCGGGCTCGAGGCCTCCGCGGTGGTGGTGCGGTACCTCTGGCTGGCGGCCTCGTTGGAGGCCGGCGGCGCCGCCCGCGCGCTGCTGCAGCAGTGCCAGCAGGCCGCAGAGGCGCGCGAGCGAGCTGGCTACGAGGCGGAGGCAGAGCGGATGAGAAGACGATGCCCAGATCTCCGACGTTTCTTGTTTTGTTCCCCAAACATTGCTTGACATTGGGGATTCTTTCATGCTTTCTGAGGCACCAGGCCTTTGTGTCGGTCTGGCAGCTATGTTGTCGCCGTCGCCACCCCGTCGCCGCATCGTCGCCGCCCGTCGTTGGGCCTGTGCGTCGGTCTGACGGCTATGTTGTCCCCATCGCCGTCCCGCCGCCGCCTCGTCGCGGCCTCGCATAATATAAAGGAAATTGGATCTGCCCACCCCGGATTATCGATACCCTTCGGGGATGTGTAAGTTACATTCGATTATGCCCCATCGTTTGTTCTAAGTCTGATTTCGCAGCACTCCAGCTAAGCTGCTATCGACCTCAACTAAGCCGCTATCGACCCCACTCATCCTTGTCAGATAATAAGATTATGCGCGAGCAATCGTTCATCAACAACCATCCGCTTGTAATAACCCCTTGCGACAGATGGGGCGAAGTGCACGCGCGCGTCGTCGCGCGCATGTCGAAATCCTTCGAAAACTGTAGGTGGTTCGGTAAGGATTAAAAAATCGGGGGTCCTGAAAACAGTAGCCAGACTTTTCAAACAAGATCTGCGCGCGCTCTTGCGAGTTCTTGAGAAAACCGTTTTTTCAAAGTGAATTTGTTTCTCAATCTATGAAAAGCATGGTCTTCGCAAGCGACCAAACGGGCTCCTCCTGAGCGCATGTCGAAATCATTCGAACGCCCTTGCGCGCGCGCGCTGGGGGGGCACGCTCCCTGACAAGTGTCACCATGCGGGCCACTCGCGCCCGTCGGCCGCGCGCGCGGATGTCGAAATTCTTCCGAAGCCTTCATCACCGACACGTGGACACCATCATCGTAATCAGCGTGATCAGCATCGTCGTTGTCAGTGGCCCTGCTGTCGTCGTCGTTATCATCATCCCCAGTCTCGCTATTATCATCACCGCGTTTGCCGTCGTCGACGTCGCCATGATACCGCGCCCGCCCAAGTCACCGACTCGCACCGAAGTGCCGCGCGTCAGCGCCGCCTGCGAGACGCGTTGGGCAGTCCTCCAGCGTTCAGCACTACCGCGGCCGCGTCGGTCGCGCCAGGGTAGCTGGCCGCTCTGCGCGCGAGCCTGCGCGCGCTAGCGCGGCTGCAGTGATGCGCCAGCCAGCGCGAAGCAATCGTCGCAAGCGCCGCCGCCGCCGCATGGTTTTAAACCAAGCTGCGGGTGGGTGGGTGGGATGATTGCGCGAACAGTTGACCTGACAATGCACAGCGAACAACAATTAAGCGAAGACGCCTACGGCGAATCACCGCCGCCCCCTGCCTTCTAGAATCGCCCGTGTGGCCGAGCGCTGTGGCAAGAACTCAACCAAGCTGTCGGGCCATGTGTTTCCCCAGCCGTTGTGGAAACCCTCCGGGGAACACTTGGGGGAGGATGGCGGGGCAGATCATGAGGATGAGGAGGAGGAGGAGGAGGAGGAGGAGGAGGAGGAGGAGGAGGAGGTGGAAGAGGAGGAGGGGAAGGACCAGTGTAAACCCAAGAGTCATCAACGATGTTGGAAAAAAACCCTCCCTCCAAGCTCTTTCGTTATAGGCCCATACAACGGTTCATTTCCATTAAGGGAACTGCCTCGTTGGAAGGCAACCGGTTGAATACCGTGAAGCATGCCAACACATTGTTTTCGAGATCCCAACGCCACGGATCAACCTGACTGTTGCGTTTTGACTTTCCTGAATCGTGCCATACGCCACATTCTTGGGACTTCAACACAGCGAAAGAGCGTAGCTGTTGCACCCCGATAATCCTGAATCCTTCCAGGACGTATGTTCAGATGCTTTGATCATGGGAACCCGCTACACGCTGGCACGTTTTATTACAGAGCGTGCACGGCGCCAAGGCGGGAACCACATTTTGAAAAGGAACTGCTCTCAATCCGTCAAGCTCTTGCAATTTGTTAAAAATGCGCGCGGCGCTAAGGCGAGAACCGCACTTTGAAAACGGGTTCCCTTCAATCCGTGAAACTCTTGCATCTTTTAACGAATGTCTGCGGCGTTAAGGCGAGAGCCACATTTTGAAAACGGGTTCCCCTCAATTCGTGAAGTTTGTGCATTTTTATAAACGAGTGTGCGCGGCGCTAAGGCGAGAGCCACATTCTGAAAACGGGTCGCCCTCAATGTGTGAAGTTCTTGCATTTTTTTGCAACGAATGTGTGCGGCGCTAAGGCGAGAGCCACATTTTGAAAACGACCGGCTTTCCATCAGCGAAACGCAAATTTTGAAGCCTCAGGGTCATGAGTAGTGGGTAAGTCTCCGGTGAAACGCCCGGCCCGCCCTAAAAGCTGGCCTCCGGGTGCGACATTGAGAAGTTGTCCATGAGGAGGTGGGGAGAAGGACTTGAGGAGGAGGGGGCATCGTGGGAGCCTTTGAGGACATTTTTGGAGCCTCCTGGGAGCTTCCTGGGAGCCTCTTGGAGGCATCTTGGGAGCCTCCTTGGGCCTTTTGGGAGCCTCTGGGGCCTTCTCGGGTGCCTCTTTGGCCGTCTTGATGGGCTCCTGGCCCGTCTGACGCCGTCCGAGGCCGTCTTGGGGGCCTCTATGTGCCGACTTGGAGCCCTCTTGTGGTGCTCCAGGGCCGTCTTGGGGGCCATGTTGGGCGTCTTCGAGGCCTCTTGGGCCGTCTTGGGGTCTCTTGGGGCCGTCTTGGGGGCCTCTTGGGCCGATCTGGGGCCATCCTGGAGGCCTCTTGGGCGATCTTGGGGCAATCTTTGGGGGCTCTTTGGCCGTCTCGGGCCGTCGGAAGGCAGAAAAGAAAAAGGAACATCAATGATTTTGGCATCTTCGGGCCTTCCTGGAGGCCCTCTTGGAGGACTCTTGGGCCGTCTTGGGCCATCTTAGAGCCCTCTTGGGCCGTCTTGGTGGGCTCTTGGCCCGTCTGACGCCGTCGAAAGCCGTCTTGGGGGCCTCTATGTGCCGACTTGGAGCCCTCTTGAGGTGCTCCAGGGCCGTCTTGGACGCTTCCTTGGGCGTCTTGGAGGTATCTTGGGCCGTTTTGTGGCCCTGTTGGGGCCGTTTTGGGGTCCTCCTGGGCAGTCCTGGAGGCCATCTGGGGTCCTCTTTTTCCGTCTTGGAGGCTTCTTGAGCGGACTTGGGAGTATCTTGGGGTCCTCTTGGTCCGTCTTGGAGGCTTCTTGAGCGGACTTGGAAGTATCTCGGACCCTCTTAGCCGTCTTGGAGGCCATCGCGGCCATGTTGGAGGCATCTTGGAGGCCGTCTTGGACCATCTTGGCGGTTTTGACAGCCATCTTGAGCCGTCTTGGGAACTTGTTGTGAGAATTCCGGGCCTTGTGGGGCTTTTCGGGTGGCCGGCGGGACGGGCCGAAGCCCCGGGGGAGAGTTCTTTTGCAAAACGAACCGACATCAAGAGCGATAGGGTCCAGCACGCCGGGCGACCCTGTGGCAAGCCAACAGGGGGCGGCGGATCGAATGCCCTTCGGCCGATCCCGCCACCGTGCTTGGGTTGTGGGTATGAAGCCTTCTGGATGTTCGTTGGGATCTCGTGGGAGGACTCTCAGGGGCCTCTTGGAGGCAGTTTGGAAGCCTCTTGGGGGCCGTTTGGGGGCCTCCTGGTGCCTTGTTTGGGCCTCTTGGGGGCCTCTCGGGGTCTCTTGGGCGCCTCGTGGAGCCTCCTGGGGGCCTCTTGGGGCGGAAGGCTTGGATTTTCGTTTCGTGTTCCCCATCTTGGTCCCCTGTTGGGGCCGTCTTGGGGCCCTTGTGGGCCGTCTTGAGCGCCACTTGGGCCGTATTGGGACGCTCTTGGGCCGGCTTGGCGCCCTCTTGGAGGCTTCTTGGGCCGTTTTGGGGTGGTCTTGGGGGCTTCTTCGGCCGTCTTGGAGCGTCGGAAATCTGAAAGGGCGATGCCACTATTGACGCCCCCCTCATCCCTGTCAAATGACAGCATCCGCGCGCATTCGTTTATCAAAAATCAGCAGCTCCCACTAATCTTTTGCAGCGAATCTGACGAAGTGCACGCGCGCGTCGTTGCGCGCGCGTACCAGAATCTTTGAAACTGCGTAGGTCCCGTATGTAATTCAAAATCGAGTGTCCCGCAAGCGTGCGAGCATGCGTGGTTTTGTGACGTTCTTGAGAAAACCATGAATTCTTTTTCCTCGGCATTTTCATCAATTGCGTCCAAACAGGCTTCTCGCGCGCATGTCGAAATCGCTCGAACGCCCTTGCGCTCGCGCTGGGGCGGGGGGGCTCAATCCATGTCATGTAAAACCATGCGGGCCATTCGCGCCCGTCGGCCGCGCGCGCATGTCGTCGGCGTGGGCTCCCATCATCGTCATCAGCTTGATCGGCATCGGCGCTGTCATTGGCCTAGCCGTCGTCATCGTTATCTTCGTGCCCAGCATCGCTATTATCATCGCCGAGTCTGCCGTCGTCGACGACGCCGCGATGCCGCGCCCGCCCGAGTCGGCGATTCGCACTGAAGTGCCCGCGCGTCAGTGCGGCCTGCGAGACGCGCTGGGAAGTCTCCGGCGGTCAGCGCCACCGCGGTCGCGTTGGTCGCGCCAGACTGGCTGGCTGCTGTGTGCTCGAGCCTGCGCGCACTAGCGCGGCCGCAGCGATGCACCGGCCATCGCCAAGCACTCATCGCAAGCGCCGCCGCATGGGTTTCGCAAAGCAAGTTGCGGGTGGGCGGGTAGGATGATTGCGCGAGCAGTGGAGTTGATAACTTCCAGTTCGGCAAGGTGGATTGCGCCGCGTAGCTTTCGCCGCGTGGATTGCGCCGCATAGACTGCGCGACATAGATCGCGACGCAAATGTGGCACGACATAGATCGCCCAGGTTAGATTGCACCATGTAGGTCGCACGAGATAGTCTGCGCTGCGTGAGTTGCACCGCGGCCGCGTCGGTCGCGCCAGACAAGCCGTCCGTTCTGCGCGCGAGCTTACGCGCGCTAGCGCGACCGCGGCGGGTAGTCATCGCGATCGCTGCCGCATTGGTTTTACAACGGGTGGGCATTTGTGATGATTGCGCGAGCAGCGAAGTTGGCAAGTCAATTTTTCCCCAATCAGAGCTTGCCTCTGTAGGGGTCCTAGCGGATTCGTATGGTTAGGTTAGCTGCGTCGCCGATTTTGGCGGCCCGCCCGGGTGCCCAGGTGCCCGGGAGCTGCGTCGCCGATTTCGGCGGCCCGCCTGGGTGCCCGTGTGCTTGGGTGCCCCATATAGCCCTGTAGCCCTAACCCTATAGCCCTATAGCCGTATATCCCAATAGCCCAATAACCCTACAGCTTTATAGCCCTATAGCCCCATAGACTTGTAGTCCTGTAGCCCTCTAGCCCTCTAGCCCTCTAGCCCTCTAGCCGAGCTTCTGGACGACGCTGTGCTGGCAGCCGCGGGCGGCGCTGCGGCGGCAACTGTGCACTTGGGCGGCGTCGGAGGCGCGGCCGCTGCCCTGGAGGCCGCGGCAGTGGCGGCTGAGCGTGACGTACGGCCTGGCGCGGCGCTGGCCGGTACGATCGGCCCTGCTGGCGACGGGGGCGCGGCCGCAGCCCCAGAAGCCGCCGGCCCGGGGCCTGGGGCGCGTGTCCGGGCCCTGCGCCTCGTCTACGGGCGCGGGCCTGTATGAGGCGGGCGGTGGCGCTGAGGCCGGGACTAGCTGGCCGAGCGGCGGGAGACCCAGTTCCTATCGAGACGCGGTTTCCGCTGCCCGTGGGAGAGAAAAAAAACTCTAACCCTATAGCCCTCTAGCCCTCTAGCCCTTTAGCCTTCCAGTCCTACAGCCCTATAGCCCTTCAGCCCTATAGCCCTATAGCTTTATAGCCCAATAGTCCTATAGCCCTAGAGCCCTAGAGCCCTATATCCCTAGCCCTACAGCCCAACAGCCCAATAGCCCTCTAGCCTCTAGCCGTTTTGCCCTATAGTCCCTATGGCCCCATAGCCTTATAGCCCTGTAGCTTCAAAAGTATATGATTGGGGTTTCTCTATGGTATCGTGTCAAAAGTCGTCGCAACGCAAACGTTGCGCCGCGCAGATTGCATCGCGCATATAGCACCACGTAGATTCCCCGTGCTACAAGAGTAGTAGGATCTCCCCCTTCCTCAGTCTTAACTGTTCCCTTCTCCGTTTCGCAAGCTGCACATGATTTTGGCCCGTCGTCCGTTCTAAATATGAACTCGCGCCGCGCCAGCCAGGCCAATATCGCCCCGCTCATCTTCGTTACGCGCGCGCACCCGTTTATCAACATTAGACAGTTTTTGCCGAAAGTCCCTTGCAGAAGAAAAAGGACGAAGTGCACGCGCGCGCGTCGTCGCGCGCGCATGCCAACAAACTTTCAAACAACCTTAGGTCCCGCAGCGCATTCAACACCGAGTGCCCCGAGACACATATGAAAACTTATGGTTTCCCAAAACGGGCTTTCAAAACAAGCTTGAGCTCGGGCTCTTGCGGCTTTTTAAAGGCAACCGCAATTTTCAACATCTTCATTCACAGCATGCTACCAAACGGGCCTCTCGCGCGCGCGTGTCGTCATCGCAAGAACGCCCTCGCGCGCGTGCTGTCGCAAGAACCCATTGCAACACATGGGGCGGAGTGCGCGCGCCTGCGCCGTCGCGCGCGCATGCCGGATTTTTTCCAAACAGCTCAAGGTGTCGTAGGGATTTCAAAACCGAGTGCTCCGAACATCTAAGAACACATTTGGTATTGCAACATCAGTTTTCAAACAAAAGCTTGCGTTCGCGGTCTTGAGAATGTTGAAGATCACCATCGGTTTTTCAAGATTTTCATTGCATTCTGGCATAGGGGCCTCTCGCGCCGCATGTCGAAATCATGCGAAAGCCCTTGCGCGCGTGCTGGGGGAGGGGGGGGCACGATCCGCTGCAAATGAATTATGCGGGCCGCTCGCGCGTCGGCCGCGTGTGCATGCCGAATTCCTTCCAAAATGTTCATCACCGACGCAAGGACGCCGTCATCGTCGTCGGCGTGGGCAGCATCGGCACCGTCACTCGCCGCACCGTCGTCGTTGCCATCTTCGTCACCAGCATCGCTGCTATCATCATTGCGTCTTCTTTTGTCGACATTGCCATGATGCCGCGCCCGCCCACATCGCCGATTTGCCCTGAACTGCCCGTTGGGAAGCGCCCAGTGGTCAGCGCCACCGCGGCCGCGTCGGTCGCGCCAAAGTAGCTGCCCGCTTCGAGCGCGAGCATGGGCCGCGGCGATGCACCAGCCAACACCGAGTAGTCATTGCAATCGCAGCCGCATGGGTTTGGCAAACCAAGTTGCGGGTGGGTGGGTGGGATGATGCGCGAGCAATGGAGTTGACATGTTCAAGTTCGGCAGGGTGAGTTCCAGTATTGAACTTACACCACATATATGCCACAACCTTGATCGCACCACGTACATTTGCAAAATAAGGCCGGCGCTGGATAAGTTGCACAACGTAGATCGCAAAGCATCTATTGCACAACGCAGGTTGCACAACATAGATCGCGCCACATATATTGCACCTCGTACATCGCACCGCGCGTATTGCACCACGTACAGTGCACCACCTGTGTTGCTCCACGTCAAGTGCACAACGTGGACTGCTAGAAACGCAGCGTTTGGGGCCTACGTTGGTTAGCATTTTTTCAATCTGGGCGTGTTTTCCCAGATTTCGGCTTCCAGGGCCCGCTGTCGCGCCCCATGAGAGCTACCAAAACGCGGTCCAGGACGGAAGGCTGCCCCCGGGCAAGGGGTCGTGAACCCTGGGGCTTCGGAGGGAACCTCAACGAAACACATCGGAGAATGTATGGGCGTAAGATAAGTTTGTTTTCGCCGTCGGGGACGCCTGCCCCGAGGCGGCTGGACAGTTTACAGCGACGGCGGTGCAACAGGGACCGCGTTGGGCTTGGGACTGGCTCTGCCGTGGCCGAGGCCCGCCGAGGCCAGAAAAACCTCCTCGTCCACCACGCAGCGCTGCCCCCACGGTAGCACGATGGCTGTCTCAACTTCCGGGCCGTCCGTGGACAGGCGCCCCCGCTGGCGTAGAAAAACTCCCGCCATATCGCTCATCCTTCGCCGACGAGGTGCAGTGCTTCGCGGGCGCCCCGGTCTCCGCCTCGCGCTGCCTCGAGCGGCTGGACGCCTTGGCTTCGGAGAGGGGGGAGGCCGGGGAGGCCCCGGCGCGCGCGGCGCTGGACCTGCAGGACTGGACTACACGTAGGATTGAAGTTTCGCCAGAGGGACCATTGGTGCAGGCACATGTGGGGGTCCCAGATGATTGAGCGCGATGCTAGAGCAGCGTCTTGTTCGCTTGGGTTTGGCCCCCCCGCGGCCCCCCCTTGAACCGCGCACCGAAAGGTCACTCTTGCCTGGGGTCACTCCTTGCGTGCAGCCGAAGGACGCGATCTGCCAGGCGGAGTGCGCACTGTGGCCGCCGGACGGGGCGGAGCCTCCTGAAGCAGGGGACTCCGACGCGCTCCGCGAGCTCGCCGCCCTCGCCGGCAGCTTCGTGGAAAGCCTGCGTCCGGCCAGCGGGGCCCCCGCAGAGGCGCCGCCCGCCGCCCCGGGCGCCAGCGGGACGGCCCTGCGGCTGCTGTGCGCGCTGGCCGCGTTGCTCGGGCGCGCTGCGGCGGCGCCGGCCGTGCCGGTGGGCTTTTCCGATGGCGGCCTGGCACTCGGCACGATCGAAACGGGTACAGAAAGACACTGAGATTTGGCGTCTCAATTTTTAGTGAGGCGGGCGTTTTCGCCCAGTTCCGAGCACCAGGACCCTCGAAGATCGATCCAACTCAAAAACTGAGGCAGAACGAGTGGGCCTTGGGCTCGGGGCGTGATTGTTCACCATGTCGTATTTTTTTCGCGTCGCTCCTGTCCATCTTGACTTGGGCTCGCTGTCGGCGTCGCCACGGACGTTGGTCCGTTCGAGGCGAACGGTCGCCTGCCCAACAGCGGCCGCTGGCGGTTTTGGACAGCATTTGCTGTTCCCTGCGATCCGACGTTGCAAAACAAATGCAACGTCGCAAAAAGTCACGCCGGCAGACCTAAGACCCCATCTTTCTGCGACGATCTTGGAGCTGCATCGATCTGTGAGGGCCCTGGGGCCCGAAATTTGGATGAGAACGCCCAGCGCGAAACAGTCGAGCTCCTGCCAGGATCTCAGGTCAGGCATCGTGCCCATGCTTCCCGTGCCCGTTGCGGGTGCCCACAGACACACACACACATACACACTTAATTCGATGGCGGCTAGGCAGAGTGACTGCGCTGGCGGTGAGGCGTCGGAAGTTGCTCGAACGCGAATACACACAGACACACAGACACACAGACACACAGACACGCACGCGCACACGCACGCGCACACGCACGCGCACACGCACGCACACATGCACACGCACGCGAACACGCACACGCACGCGCACACGTACACGCACGCGCACACGCACACGCACACGCACACGCACACGCACACGCACGCGCACACGCACACGCACACGCACACACACACGCACACACGCACACGCACACGCACACGCACACACACACGCACACGCACACGCACGCGCACGCGCACACGCACACGCGTACGCACACGCACACGCACGCACACACGCACACGCACACGCACGCACACAACACACAACACACACACACACGCACACACACACACACACACGCACACACAACACACAACACACAACACACACAACACACACACACCACACATACACACGCTGACACACAGGCGCACGCACGCACGCACGCACGCACGCAGGAACACGTACACACAGACACAAAGGCACGCACACAACACACAATACACATAACACACATAACACACACAACACGCAACATACACACACCACACACAGACACACACAGCCATACACACATATACTCACTGCAAACTAAGGCAACTCGAGCAAACTTGCTTAAAAAGTCAGCACTCGCTCAAGGATGTCCAGAGAGGAGAGAGATAGAAAGAGAGAGAGAGAAAGAGAGAGAACAACAAACAAAGAGAGATGGCGATATATACAAAGAGAGAGAGAGAGAGAGAGGGAGAGACAGGACAGAGGAAGGAGAATTGCCCAACCTGGCCCCTGCTGCGACTTCTGACCGCGCCACTGCCGCTGGAAGGGAAGGGAGCGGATGCCCATAGCAAGTTACCAACATTTTTTCAATATGAAGCGTTCCAAGCAGGGCCTCGCCTTTGTGGATGGAACGAGTTACCATCTCGTCCTCGGCGGAAGGCGGCGGAAGGTCGGCGGAAGGCGGCGGAAGCAAAACGGGGGCGGCTCCGCTGGCGGAAGCCTGCGGCAGGCCAGCGGAAGCCGGCAGAAGCAAAAGTCGACCTCCCGAGAGGTGACAACCTTTTTGGGCTCCCTGCTTCCCGAACTCGCCAGAGCCAAACTGGGCTGCGGAGTTGCTGACTCTCCCGCGCGCACGAGGAGAAGAGGGGGAGGAGAGGGCGGCCGCGGAGGAAGGGATGGGACGCGATGGGGCGGAAGTGGCCCAGAGATCCGATGTCGTGATTTTTTCGATGCGGGGTCCCCGGAAGTCTCGACCCATTCGCCAGGACCGGCTTTTCATCCAGAGTCGTTTTTTGACGGTCCCGAGGCCTGGTCAGGGCCCCCAGAGGCCGAAAACTGCGAACAACCTCTGTCGTGATTTCTTCACTGCGTCGGATCCCTGGGGAGGAGGTCGGCGCCCACAGGCGCTGCTGGTGCCCGTCCTCCGTCGGGCCGGCGACCTCCTGGACGCGCTGAGCTGCCGCACGTGCCCGGCCGCGGCCGGGCGCCGCGGCCCGGCGCCGGCGGGCGGCGGCCCGGCACCGGGCGGCGCCCTGCTGCTCCTGCGCGGCATCGCGCCCGAGGCAGGGCGGCGAGGTCTGTACGCAGACATGCCGCGCGTCGAAAAAAATTGCAGGGCACGCAGAGATCCAACGTGGAGAAAAAATCAAGACGGAGGTTTTTCGCAGTTTTTGGCCTCCAGGGGCCCTCGCTGGGCCCCAGGAGCGTCAAAAAACGACTCAGGATGGAAAACCGGTCCTGGGGAATGGGTCGAGACTTCCTGGGACCCCGTATTGAAAAAATCACGACATCGGATCTCTGGGTACGGGAGGTTGTTGGCCGTTTTCGGCCTCCGGGGGTCCTCGCTGGGCCCCGGGACCGTCAAAAAACGTATAGGATGAAGAACCGGTCCCGGCGCAAGGGTCGGAACTTCCGGGGACCGCGTTTAGGAAACAGTCATGACGTTGTATGTTTGGGTGCGTATCCACTGCCGCTGGTCACTGGGATCGCCGCGGGGGTCGCGGAGGGGACAGGGACGGCATAAGCGGATGCCAAGGTGGCTATGGCGGGCCCAACCTGGCTTACGCCTGGGGCGCAGATGCCTGAAGTGGCTGGTAGGGGGTTAGCGATCTGGGCCAAGTGGGCTCCGCCCACTTAGCGGAGACATCTGACTCCCAAAGCCTCTTGGGGTATTTGTAACCCACCTGTAAGTCATGTTGGTCTCTCTCACTCTCTCTGCATATATATATAGATAGATAAGTGTATCTATGTATGTATGTGAGTGTGTATATATATGTATATATACACATGTATATATACATATATATATATATACATATATACACATACAGCCACCGTTGCAACCGCGTATAATCCCCCCATCCCCCTAGCAATTCCCGCGTTCATCCCAGCACGCATTTCCACCGCCGCAGGCCAGGCCCATCCTTGGCTCAAGAGCGGTGTACATATGCCCTGCTGGCCTTGGCCAGGGTGGCACATGCACCGCTCCTGGGCCCATGGATGGGCGTGGCCAGCGGCGGTGGGTATGTGTAAACCGTGAGATCCAACGTTGCCCCCAAAATGCAACACCACAAAAGATCACGCCGGCAGCTCTAGACTCCATCGTTCTGCTTCATTTTCTGAGGCTATGCGATCCGTGAGGGTACTGGGGCCCGAAACTGGGCGAAAACACCCGGCCCGAAGAAATTGCAATGCCAAGATCTCAGGCGATCTCGCCGCCCTACGAGAAGCCGCCAGCGCCCGCGGGCGCGCCCTCCGGCGCAGCCCCGGGCGCCGGGCCAGCGCTCTTCCTTGCGCCGCCTGTGGAGAGGCTCCCAGGAGGGAAAAATAGGCACAGACACACATGCGCGCAGATTGTCATGAGGATGCGGGGAAATGTGGGGAACTGGTGGGAAGAGGAGGGTCCAGGAAACATGGAAAATATGGGGAATCCTGGGATCGGTGCCGATTTCTG